TGGGCTTTGCTAAGCTTGTTCTAAGTAGGTGCTTTAGACCACTGAGCCATCTCACCAGCCCCTGGTTTCTTTATTTATATCTATTTATTTATTTTGCGGAACCGGGGATTGAACTCAGGCCCTTGCGCTTGCCAGGGAAGCGCTTATTCCACTGAGCCATCTCCCAGGCCCTGAAAATCCACTTTGGCAGAACCCATGAACGGTACAACTGGGACAGATACAAATGATTTACTCACTGTCAAAGAGGTCTACAAATCAATTACACTCCAAGTCTATAGCCTAAATTTCTGCCAGTAAACAAACTAGGTCAAAGACTACCACTCAACATGTCATGAAACCCTATGCCCACTGATACTAGATAAAAGGACGTGGGGAAGGCCAGATGTGGAAATGAAAACCAAAAAACAAACAACAAAAAAAACCCTAAACAAACAAACAAACAAAAAACCAGAAGAGGGTACAAACCTATAATTGTTTAGATTCATGAGGCTAAGGTCAGGTGTGGCAGTGCACATCTGCAATGCACTCAGGAAGCTGAGGCAGGAGGATTTCTGCAGTTCAAAGCCAGCCTAAACTACACAGTGCACTGAATGCCAGCCTGAATTGCAAAGCAAGACCCTGCTCCCTGTAAAAAAAAAAAAAAAGAAAAAGAAAAAGAAAAGAAAGAAAGAAAAAGAAACACTGAAGATGTAAAGCTCAGGGATAAATCACCTATTCCAAGATTCCAGAAAGAAAAATCAAAAGAAAAAATAAAAAAGAAAGAAAAGGTCTGCTTGCTTGATTGCTTTCTAACAGTCTTGCTATGTAGTTAGTTCAGACTGGCCTGGTAGCCTCCCATTCATGGCAATCCTGGCTCAGTCTCATGAATGGTGGGATCATTAGACAGGCAGCACAATACCTGACTCCAGCTATATGTCCTTAATACACTACTTCTCCTTTTTTTTTTTTTGGTGGAATCAGGGATTCAACTCAAGCCCTTGCCAATACACTACTTCTTATATTGAAAAAGGTCACAGTATTTCTTACTGTCTCAGAAGCTCTTCTCAGACTTATAACAGTTATCACTTAAGATAAATAAAAGTTACATAAAATGCAGTTAGAACACCAGTATGGAAAAAAAAGTCACTGGGCATGGTAGTACATGCCTGTAATCTCAGGACTCTGGGAAGCTTGACAGGAGAATTCTAAATTTTACCCCATCCAAGCAACTTAGGGAAATCTTGTCTCAAAATAAAGAAAGAGGGCCGGGGAGATAGCTCAGTAGAATAAGCGCTTGTCTGGCAAGTGCAGGGTCCTGAGTTCAATCCCTGGTACCACAAAAATAAATGCATAAGTAAGAGAAAGGTATGAGACTATAAGCAGAGTGGCAGAGCAGCCTTGGATTTAATCCCTGGCAGCACAAAAACAGATCAGTAGGCTTTGCACAAAGATTCAAAAGACAAGATACAAATCAAAACCAGCCTTCCTGCTGGGCATGGTGGCACACACCTGTAATCCCAGCACTCGGAGACTGAGGCAAGAGGATCACTGCAAATTCAAGGCCAGTCTGGACTACATAACAAGATCCTGTCTCAAAAAACAAAACAAAACAAAACAAAATAAAACAAAACAAAACAAGTAGCCTTCCTTACCAGATATGATGGTACATTCCTATAAACCCAGAACTAGGGAAGCTGAGGCAGACGGACTGGCCCAAGTTGAAAGTCAGCTAGGACTACATAGTTTAAGACTAGGCTGACTCAAAAATAAATAAACAAATAAAATAAAAAATTAAAAAAGGAGGGTGGCAAACAAGCTAGTTCTTTTGGAGAAGGTTAAAAGTAGTCACAGCTATTAACATAAAAGAGGATCTAACCAAAGGTGAAAATGGGGCATCTAAGAAAAAAATTTGGGGCTGGGGGCCAGGGAGATGGCTCAATAGAATAAGCACTTCCCTGGCAAGTGCAAAGGCCTGAGTTCAATCACCAATTCCGCAAAAAAAATTATGCACTGCACAACACTGAGCATCTAAAAGTTCAACAGATAAAAGTGCCTGCAGATTTCATTATGAGACATTTCAATGACAAAATTTTACCAACCAAATTAGGCATGGTGGTACCTGCCTATAACCCCAGCACTCAGGAGACTGAGGTAGGACAACCACTTTGAGTTTGAAGCCAGCCTGGGCTACACAACCAGACCTGGTTTTAAAAGCAACAAACCTGGGCTGGTGAGATAACTCTAGGTCTAAGACCTGGCAAACACAAGGACCTGGGTTTGAAACCTGAAACCCCATGCTGTGCAGGTCCTAGAAGGGCACTCAGAAGGACACACCATGCCAGTCAATGAAATGGAGCATGGTGGTGCCCACCTCTAATCTCAGCACTGGGGAGGCTGAGACAGGAGGCTCAGTACAAGTCAGCGCTGCATTAGAAGACCTTGTATCAAATCAATCAATCAATCAATGAATCCCAATCAACCCAAAACAAAAAAGCGATTAAGATAATGTAACAAACTAAAACTTTAACTTTTTAGGTTAAGAGGGATGGTGGGACAGAAAAACTGTTTCAAAGATCAGTGTCCTGGAATTCTAGCCTGAATCACAAAGCCATTCATACATGAGTATCTCTTGGGTATCAAGAAGCAATGCGTGGGGGACTCAGGTCAATAATTTCTGACACTGCCAGTTAAACAGAAGACCCAATGCTATAATGGGCTACTGGACTCTTTTAGAATATTTTGCTGAGTTTACACACCTATAATATTCAATAATGGAACTTAGAAAAAATGGGGTATACCGATGAATGT